AACCTGGGCTCTCACCACCTTTCCCTTTTCCAGCAGCCAAAAGTCAAGAGGAAGAGTGCCCTGGGCCTGCCAGGGTGTGTGGTAGGAATGCTCAGCAGACTCAGGGACTCAGGAAGCAGGGGTTGGGGGTCAGGAGCAGAAGCACTCCCTCACATGTGACCCCAGCCTCTTAGTCTCTGCTTCTTGTCAGGAAGTGTCCAGTTCTCAACCCCCAATTGCCCACCCCCATTCTGCCCTCTGGTACAGAACTAAGGATCTGCCTGTGGAACTGTCTCCAGTGGAAGACTGTCATTCACCCAAGAGGAGGCTTGAACACTGGCCATCTCTAGAGCACTTTGCCCAGGAAAGTGTCCGGCACGTAATACATGTTGCTTGTGTGTCACATTCAATTATTAAAGAACCACTGTTGCCATATGCCTCCAGGAGGCAGTGGACACACACGATAGACAAGCATACACATGCACTCACAATGGAACTCAATTTACACCTGACCAGGCTGGGAGGTCTTTGGTTGTTTGTGGGGCAGTCCAGGGCAAATGGTACATATGCCCACACTCACACATACAGGTACACACACACACACACACACACACACACACACACACACTGAGGTCTCCAGGTCAGCAGGGCAGCCAGTAACAGGGAATCTCACAAATACCCCTCTGGATGCCACACAAATGTGGGACAGAGGGAGGTGCTGGCTCAGTTTGCAGTCCACCCACTCACCCAATGACTGGGAAAGTGATAGACAGGAGTTAGTTATACTGACCTCATCTCTTTTTTTCTGTAAAATTGATTTTATTTTTGATTATGTGTACTTGTGTGGGTACTTACAAGGGAGTGTAAGTGCCCACAGATGCTGGAAGAGGGTGTCAACCCCCCTGGAGCTGGATGCCAGGAACCTGGCTCAAGCCCTAGAGATCAGTATATACTCTTAACTACTGAGTCATCTCTCTAGCCTCCTGACTTCATCTTTTTACAGCTCTATGGGCTTGGACAAGTTATTCCCCCTGATGTGAGTTATTTCCCTCAATTTCCCCCATCGACAAAATTAGGGACTATGTGAGCATTAGAGTGGTTTTGTGGCTGCATTTGGTATCACCTGTACTGGTTGTCAAGTAGCTGTAAAGGCCCAGAGCCATTTGGACCTCTATCAGTCTACTGTGGGGAGAGAGGGAGAGGATGACTCTAGATGCCCCCCTTCTCCTGCCTCCATCTCCTCTGGTATCCACTCCATACCCTTGACTTCCCCAGGATGCTTCCTTGTTGAAGGACTTGAAAATCATCCCTGTGGAAAATTATGAACTCACGCTCAGCACAGAGACTCTGCTGTCATTTACTCCTCCTGCCTTTTGTCAGCCATCCAGGGATAGAACTCAGCTCAGGCACAAGGGTCTAGCCTGGGAAGAGGCTGGTATACAGCTGTTTATCTGAATACACCAGAGCAAGGCAGAGATGAAGTCACAGTGGTCACCTCCATCATGTAGTGGTTGAGATTCTGGGTTGTCTTTCTGGTAAAGACTATAGATTATGGATAATCCAATCTCACTGCACACCTTTAACTTTAGTTTAATCCAGGCTTTTTATCAGCCACCACTCTGGCCTAAATGTCCTGGGTGCCCTCCAGGGACCAAGACCTACAGCCTTAGATGTGTGTGGGATCAGGAGGATATGGGATTTCCCCTGGGACTCACTGCATCAGTCAGTGTGATCAGATATATAGTGAGCCCCATTGCTCTGAATAAACCAGTAAGAGATCACGTACAAGTGTGGAGTAAAGGTTGGAGCTTATTGCCTCCCTGAAGATGAGGTAGCCGCATCCACCATGTCTTGCATTCATTTCCATTATCGTGTGTACGTACATGCGTGTGCGTGTGTGTATGTGTGCACGTGTGTGAGCATGTGTACCTGTGTTCAAGCACATGTGTTGTGCGGTGGGAGGCAAGGCCTTCTCTGTGCCTTGAACCCACAAGCCTCCTGTACCAGCTGGGATCCCAGGAATGTGCTGCCACATCCAAGCCCATTTCAGTGTTCAGGGACCACATGGCAGGTATTGTGCTGAGCACATGGAGGCAATAACTGAGACACTCCCTTTATGGCTGAGAGCGGCCATGAGATGGGCTTCCAAGTTCAGAGATCAGTTATCTTCCCACATCCATATGATGTGTTCTAGAAGGCCCAGAATGGAGAAGACCTTTTTGTCAGAGTGAGGCTGGAGTGGAGTTATGCCAGACCCAGATTGGCCCTGCCAGCTCTGAGCCAGCCAAGCCATGCCCAGGCCAGCTGCCCTGGTGCAGGGGTACAGGCACAGGCTGTCACAGTCGGGCACAGGCTGTCACCATCAAGGGGCTGGTTCTGTGAGGTACATGGGGGAGTAGGTCATTGAGGGGTTCAGAGACACTAGAAGTTTCCAGGAAACAAAGGGTGAGGGGAAGGACAGCTTGGGGACAGCAGACTATAAGCTAGACTCCAGCACTGGACAGGATTTCTTGGCTAAAGATCTCTATATGGAGCCACTCCAAAATTAAAACAAAAAAGTATATAGCCCAACAGAAGTTTTGCTGCTTCCTGAGCTCTTTCCCAATCAAGAAGGTCAGAGAATTAAAGGGTGTGGTAGTAGTTAGTGCATATAGTGTGGGAAGGGAGGGTTTGGAGTATAGCAGAAGACAGAGAACTAGGGTCCAACCTTTAAGGTATTGCAGGAGCGTCTTGTATGCTCACCTCAGCCTCTGCTCTGTAGCATGTCTCCAGAGTCATAGAGCAGGTTATTGAGCCAATGAGACCTAGCATTCCTAGATAGTATAACCTGAGTTACTTGGACCTCAGTTTCTCTTCAGTAAAGTGGGGGTAAGAAGGGTCACCTCAAGGGATGGTTGTAAGGTCAGAGCCTGGGCCACTGTCAGTGCTTGGGAAAGATTGGATCCTATAACCAAGCTCCCCCTGTCCCTCAGGGTATCTACACACTCTGCACCTGTGTGAGTCGAGCTTGCTGACATAGTCTTGTGCTAATGACAAAGACACCTGCCATCTCTTGACAGAGCCTTTTCCTCACATTTCAAAGGCATGGTGTAATGAGGCAAACCCTAGCAATCGCCACAGACTATGGCACAAGATAGCCAGCTGGCAGATTTGTACCCAAAGCACAAATATTCAGGGAACATGGCCTGGGTGTGCCCATGGCATTCTCAATGACTTTCTCTCATGTGCCCAACTCCTGCCCAGGGCAGAGGGAGTCTGAGCTCAACACCCGTCCTCTGCTTAGGGTGGGGATTACTACCTGACAGGACTGTCAAAGTCCAGGAGGGTCTCAGTCACCACAGCCTTCGGGAGGATGGGGCTCCAAGCTGAGGTGTGGAGGCTGCTGGGGTGCTC